TTGGTTGAGGCTTGTAATTGTACACTGCCATCCTTTTTACAGTTAGATCTGACACTATTCGAACTTGGATTCTAGTCGATTTCTAAGATTTCTGTCCTGGGAAGTTAACTATATAAACAGGCCTTCAGGAAGTCCTCATGGCTGAGTGCCATAGAAGCATGTACTCATCCTGAGGTCCCAAGCAATTCCAGCTCTGTCATAGCTTTCAAGCCTGCTTAAGAGTTGGACAGCCCACATTAAAGCTCTGGCTCTGCCACTCTCTGGTGCATGCCAGTGAGTGCTTAGTAACATCCTACCTAGGACCTTGATTGCCTCCTTTGTAAAATACATGGTAAGCAAGGGATTGGTTTCCGATTAGGATTAGTCACATAATGCACTGCAATGAATGGCACTGTTCCTGGCACATAGTAAATACTTAGGAAATGGATAGTACTTCATTTTGGTGGTGGTAGTTTTGTATGAGGAACCTAACTCCTGTATTAGCCAAATGATGAATTATGAATATCCATGAACTCAGGTCACTTTGAGAGAGATTGGGTGAGAGAAGCCAGTCATAACTCCTTTATTTTTCATTGTCTTTATATCCTTTCTTAAATGTTGTCAGCATTTAAAAAAAATCACTTCATCCATCATTGCATGAACGCTGAATTTAGAAATGCGGATCTTTGATATTTTTCCTTTAACTGTCATGTTGATCGTTGAAGGCCGTTTGATTATCTAAGAATACAGCTATTTATTTCATACACACTAACACTAGATTCTAATTTGACAGCCCTATTTATAAAACCTTAAGGGACATATTGCCTTTATTTTAATCCCAATAGAGGCATTGCTGTTGAGCCAATTCCAATTCATAGTGACCCTAGAGGATGGAGCAGGACCTGTCCCGTAGGTTTTTCCTGATGTAATCATTATGTAAGCCGACAGACACATTCTTATTTCATGCAGTGACTGGTGGACTTGAACCAATGACCTTTCAGTTAGCAGCACTGTGCTACCAGGACTCCTTTGACTATGCAAAAGCACTCAACTGTGTGCTCTTGGATATATTATGGATAACATTGCAAAGAATGGGAGTTGGAGACCATTTCATTATAGCTGTAGATAACAGCAGCCAGGAAATAAAAAGACGAATTGCATTGGGAAAGTCTGCTGTCAGAGACCTCTCCAAAGAACTGAAGAGCAATGATGCCATTCTGGAGACTAAAGTGTGCCTGATCCAGACCATGCTCTTTGTAATTACTTGCTATGCATCAGAAAGCTGGACAATGACTAGGGATGATAGAAGGAGAATTGATGCCTTTGAGCTGTGGTGCTGGAGACAAGTGTTGCATATATCATGGACTGCTAAGAGAACAAACAAGTTCATCCTGGATAGGGTGAAGTCACGCTGCCTCTTGGAGGCAAGGATGCTGAAGCTTTGTCTGACATACTTTGGACATGTTGCAAGGTGGGACCAGTCCTTGGAGAGGGACATCATGCTTGGGAGGGTGAAAGGACAGCGCAGGAGAATAAGACCCCCTATGAGGCGGATTGATTCAGTAACTAGGTAATGGGGGTAGGTGTGTTGGAGACAAAAAGATTGGAACAAGAGAGAGCAAGTTTTAGGGCTGTTATTCATAGGGTCACTATGAGTCACAGATGACTCAACGGCACATAACAACAATATCAGATGAAAAGGTGGTCATAAAACAAAATGAAGAGATAACTGCATGTTTTAAATCAGGAAAGATAAATATGTGTCAAGGTTGTATCTTCTCACTATCCTTATTTAATCCATATACTGAGCAAATGTTCCAAGAAGCTGTAAGCTAAGTATGTATGAACAGATAATCTTGAAACAGCATCAGGATTGGAAGAAGACTCATTAACAGTCTTGATACATGAGTGACATGACCTTGTTTGCTGAAAGTGAAGTACTGACTGATGAAAATAAAAGACTAACCTGTTATGGGTTACATCTCAACATAAAGAAAACAAAAGGTCTCACAACTGGACAATAAGCATCACCATAAGAAATGGAGAAAAGATCCAAGTGTCAAGGACTTCATTTTGCTTGGATCCACAATCAGTGCCCATTAATTCACCAACAGATTGTGTTGGGAAAATTTTCTGGGAGAAGACCTCTTTAAAGAGTCCAACGTTGGGGGCTGGATAATGGAGGTGGGAGTGTAGGAAAAGAATGGATAGATAGTTCCTATACTGGAATAGGTGAAGAGAAATTCAATCTGAAATGAATAGACAATCAGATGTTATGTTACATGGATTGCAGTTAGCAATCTAGAACAGGATATGTTGTTGTTGTTGTTATGTGCCGTCAAGTCATTTGTTTGCAACTCATAGCGACCCTATGTACAACAGCCCTAAACCCTGCTCTATCCTGTGCCAATCGCATTGCCTCTGACACACCCATCCCAATTACCCCAGTCACTGAGGGGAACCAGAAGGTGAGTGGAGGTGTACAACAAGGGTTTGCTTTACCATTGTAAAAAGTTAATTGTAACAAATAATAGTAATTAATGCCTATGAATTATAATGAAAAAACTGATGTGATCTTTAAATTTGCACTTTTCGGGGGTAAAAAAAATAAAGTGTCCACGGCATTGTTATCATTTTGAGGATTAAAGTGCATCTGACCCAAACCATGGTATTTTCAAGAGCCTCCTTATGCATACAAAAGCTGGGCATTGAGTAAGAAAGATAAAAAAAAAAATTGATGCCTTTGAATTAATGATGCTGGTGAGCCATATTGAAGATACCACTGACTCCCACCGCAAAAAGCTCTGTTTTGGAAGAAGTCCAGCCAGAATGGTGAGGCTTTGTCTTATGTACTTTGAATTGTTATCAGAACTGATCAGTCCTGGAGAAGGATGTCCTGCTTGGGAAAGTAGTGGATTACTGGAAAAGAGGAAGACCTTTAAGGAGATGGATTGACCCACTGGCCGCAACTATGCATTTAAATATAAAGAAAGCCATGACTGGGAAGATGACCATGGGCCCAGCATATTATTCTCTTGTGCTTAGGGTCACTGTGAATCAAACTGATTTGACAATTCCTAGCACCTGGTGTATGGGCACAATTGGGTGTTCTGGAGTTCTCGTTCTTCTCAAATGTTAGCCATAGTTTGTTATGATGCATAATGAATAAAATGCAGATAGATATCTAGTTAGTCTCTGCTTTCCAAATTCTGGTAGTCTCTGTTTTCAGCCAGAATCCATCTGACATCTACAGTGATGTCCCTGGTGCTATGGTCTCTTCTAAATCCTACTTGAACTTCTAGACATTTCCTGTCAATATTCTAGCCATTTTAAAAATATTTTCCTTGCATATAATATTAATGAATTATTCGATCACGTTTATTGGGAATGAGAACAAATATGGATCTCTTGCAGTCAGTCAGCCAGACACCTGTCCTCCAAATTTCCTGACATAGATTGGTGATCCCATCCAAGGTTGTATTAGGAAGGATGTATACCAGGGATGTATCTTTTCTCCTTGCCTATTCAATCTATATACTGAGAAAATAATCCATGAAACTAGACTTTATGAAGAGGAATATGGTATCAGAATTGGAAGAAGACTTAACAACCTGCATTTTGCAGATGACACAGTTATGCTTGCTGAAAGTGAAGAGAACTTGAAATGGTTGCTACGGAAACAAGATCAAAAATTACAGCGTTCAGGTCACATCTTAACAACAAGAAGACTGAAATCTTCATCATGGGCCAAAAAGCAACATCATGATAGACAGAGAAATGATTGAAGTTGTCGATAATTTCATCTTGCTTGGACAAATGGTACTAGTAGTCAGGAGATCAGAAGACATATTGTATTGGTCAGGTCTGCTGTCAGATCTCACTAAAATACTGGAGAGCAGTGATGTCAGTCTGAAGACTTAAGTTGTGCCTGATTCAGGTTATGTTCTTTTCAGTCACTTACTGTACATCTGAGAGCTGGACAGTGAGTAAGGATGACAGAAGAAGAATTGATTCTTTGAGTTGTGGTGTTGGAGAATGGTACTGAATAACCTAAGGACTGCCAAAAGAACAAACAAGTATGTCTAGGGGAAAAACGCAGCCAGAGTGCTCCTTGAAGGCAAAGATGGCAATGTTTCATCTCTCATACTTAGGGCATGTTGCTCAGAGAATCTATGCCTTTGAAAGGAGACATTATGCTTGGAAAAGTGGAGAGTCAGTGAAAGAGAGGAAGGCCTTCAATGATATGGATACACAGTGACTGCAGCAAAGGCTCAAGTGTGTCAGAGATAATGAAGCTGGCACAGGATTGGACAGGGTTCAGAGATTTTGTTCTTAGAGTCACTATGAGTAATACTCGTCTCAACAGCACCTAGCACCACTACCACCACCTCGTGCCGTAGTCTTTAGAAATGTGTGCTAGTAACCAAAAGGCAGCCCCTCTCTGGTGGTTTGAATGCACTGTCCACTCTGCAGGAGAAAGATAGATACTCACTTATGTGATTTGACAGCTTCCAAAAACTTACTAGAGGGTCAGCTCAGAGTTGGTATTAGCCCAGTCACAATGACTGAGTGAACAACAACAACATGGAAGTCCAGATGACCATCCATTCTTCCCTTTTAGTGTATAGTACTGTTCTTAGAGGGTTATTTAGTATGGCTCTATGTGGGTTTATTGAAAGGAACAATACTGTTTGGAGTTTTGAGTTCTTAATTAGAAATCTAGTTAAACTGAAATTACAATGCAGTAAATGGCATAGCCAATTAGTTTAATTCCCTCTTTATGTCTGAACTGAGTTTGACATCACAAACAGTAATGTTTGCCTCATTTTCTACTGATTAGATTCTTTCATTAAAGGGGTGTCAGTTGCCTGACATCTACCTTTTTATGAGGAATTCTAGAAGAAGAAATGGGAAACTGAAAAAAGAAATTTCTGTTGCTGTTTCCTTATCATTAAGACTATTTTGCTCTGTGACTTTTGTCATTTCTCTCCTTCCCCCCCCACCCCCATCTTCCCGCACAGGAAGAACGTCGGTGAAAAGCACAGAAACCAGTGACTTTTGCGGCAGTGGAATTCCTGTGGAGAAAAGAGAACATCCAGAACTCAGCCAGACCATCTCTTATACGTGGTCAACCCTCCACTGTTGCCAAGGCCTCCTGTGACCTCTGGAGAATACGCTTTCAGGGTGCTTTCAGAGGAGGGAGAAAAGCCCTGGCTTGCTTGAAGAGGCAGGGAAGGAGCCCTGGAGGGCAAGGAAGGAAGAAAATATGGAGCAAATGTTTTACAACCTGAACCTCAGAACTGTGATCCTCCGAGGAGAGCGCTACTTGAAGAAAAGGAAAAAAAAAAAGTCGAATGGCTTCTCAGGGATTTTGTTTTCCATGCACTTCTAAGCCATAGTTTCAGTACAGGTGGCAGTATTTAGAGCACTCAGATTTCAGTTCTGTTAAATGTGAAAGAAGGATTAACTGACGTTCATTGCTGTTCTGTAGCTAGTGTAAAACATGTATATGTTTATCTTTATTTTTATAATATGCAAATACATTTAAATTTATACCGTTTGGAGCTTCTAGCATTAGTTAACACTGGGTGCAATATTCTGCATGAGAACTGTGCCAAGATGGGACTGATTTCTTATTTTCGCATATGCATTTTTGGGGTTTTAATTCTTTGTTCCTTTTTCTTCAGAAAAAAAAAAGAAGAAGAACATCTATTAGCCTATGAATCCATGGCTAAGTGTTGGTTTATAGAGATTGCCAGTGACTTGTCAGCGAGAACTTCAAGAAACATTTTGGGCAGTGTCTTCTCCCTTCCTTTTCATTAATTACAGGTCCCTGCCTCGAAATCCCTGGGCTTAGTGGCAAGACTTTCCCTTTTCTCTCCCCACTTGTCTGGAGCTCTGGTGGAATAGTCCGTAGTTGAGTAGCACTGCTAACCTGAAGACAGTGCTTCTCTGCAGGTTTAAATCCACTGGCTGCTCTGAGGGAGAAAGATGGACAGCCTCCTCTGGTGTGACTTACAGCCTCCAGAAACCCACTGAAAGGTCTGATATGAGTCAGTTCTGACTGAAAGCAATACCTTTGCATTTGAAAGGTCTTTTCCCTCCTAAGGCTTTTGCCTGGCCGAGTGGTTCATTGCCCAGGTCTTGTTTACACCTATGGCTGCCACCACATGCACACAGAAGGTCTGGAGCCCCCTACTCAGGAGCAGAAGCCTGGTGTAGGATTCTCAAGGTCTCCCCTCGAGGTCTCACGGTGCAGAGGGCACAGAGGTCCCATGAAAAACGTATCCCTCAAGAGCGTACGATAATCAGGAGTCAGCTCTGAGTAAGGCAAAAATCTCTGCTAATAAGTACCTTTTTTTGTCTGTCCATTCCCTGGAACAGAGTCTGTGAAATTTAGCAGAGCCCTCCAAATGTCTTCCACATCTGGGTATCAGACCTGAGATAGTTAGCTTCCTAATTGGAGAGCAGAATCCCACACTAGTTATTTATAAACACTGAACCACTGATTGGACAGTCTGTTGTCAAGAGCTAGCAAAATCCTCGTTTTAATGTCTCCCTGCAGTAAAACTTAAGTGGCAAAGTAAATAAGTTGCTCCCTAGCCTATTCCTGCCTAATTGGGGCCAAACAGCATATGCTGCAGGGGTAGTTAATTCTTTCAAAGAATGGGAAGGACTCTGTTTACATCTGCCTCTTCTGTGTGCTGATTGGAAACTGTATAACTGTTTCTCACTAAGATAAAACCAGAAAAGTGAACCCACTGGTATTAATCTCTTAACTTCTTTTATAAAGTATTGATTCTGACTGCCACGGTATACAAAGTCACCACACATATTTAAAACCAATGAGCACATGAGTGATTTCATTGCAGACTATCACAAATTCATTTTGTAGTGTATTTTGTGCCCAAGAATGAATGTCACTGACTCCAGAATCTCCAGTAAAACCAAGAATATGGTTTCTTGTGATTCTAAAATCAAATAGAATCAGACAACTTTTTAATTTTTTTAATACTTGAACAGTGATGCCTCACATTTGAGATTAATCTAGTTAATATATATATTTTTTTTCTGTCACAGTTCTCTTTGTATGTGTGTATGAAAGTGTAAACTGAATGATAGCATTTAATTGCTTCATGGACCATTGAATTGTTTGACAAAAAAAAGTTGGGTTTATTTAATTGACATTTGACAGTTGCTAAATTGTCAAATTAACCAACTTCTTGCAGTCTTTGGACAAGGAATTTAATGTGTATGACTTAGGTCTGAATACCCAAGGGAACTCTAGTGAATGAAAAATATATTTCTTTGGGTGACATACCCTTATTAGTGTGCACTGAAATGCCCATTCTTAATATCTGCTCTTTGTCAGTGATTGATGTTTTGTGCTATCGTCTGAACCCTAGAGAAGCAGCGAATGAAATCTTCATGTCACATGTGCCCTAGCAAAAGATCAGCATGATAGAGGGTCATGTGACCAAAAGAAGCTCCAGAAAAAGTTCGAGGACTTGCTTCCAGGTAGGGGAGGGTTGGATGTACTGTAAACACTCTGTTCTGCAAGAATCATCCCACCCAGGCAGGAAATTCTATTTTGTCTTTTAACACCTGGAAGACGCAGCAGCCAGCCAGGGCTGACAGGTAATTCACTAAGCACAAGAGGAATTTTTCCAACCAGGTCATCCCCTGCCTCTCAAACGAATGCCCTCCAAGTTTGTTATGGTTTCTATTCATGCAACTTATGGTATCAAAACCACTTCCTGGAATTGTAAAAGTGCTGCCAGCATAAATGTTTCCCCCCTCCTAATGAAAACAAATTTACAGTGCTCATATTTGACACCCGAGTATTAGACCCTTTTGAATGAATAAAAAGGAATGGATTTGGTGTAATTCCTGGTGAGGGGTGTGTGTGTATGTGTGTGTGTGTGTTTTTCATGCCACGGTTTGTGACTTGTAATTGTGCTTTCCCATTTAAATGTTATCTGGGCAGAAATTTAAAACAAAATTTGAAAAGTGAAATAAACATGCAAAGATATGGTTGAGCAATTCTGTACTGGTCTTGCTTTTTCTTTCCTTCCCCCCTCCCAACTTTGAAGGTTACTATTTGAGGCGTAAGTGTGTATTTTGAGCTAACTTGAGAGGAGCCCTGGGAGGCATGTGGTGGAAGGTTGCATTGGCCTCAGGATTACTTCCAGGGGAGTGAAATTGCAGCCCCATGCTACAGACGCCCCTGTGAGGCAGATGATTCGACTCTTAGCCAGCTGTTCTAAAATCAGATCATTTTCTCCACAGTTTACCCTAGTCCTTAATCAAAGCTTATGTGTTTATGATAGGACTTAAAGGTCTCTTCTTTCGCAGAAGTCATTGCTACCACCATGTAACTCTTCCCTGGAGATTGCTCTTGTTTTGGGTGCCATGGTATCGTTGTCTTTCAGAGCCACCTAGTATGACAAGAGAAATGCCCCATAGTTTTCCAGGCAGTGATCAGAAGTAGACTGCCAGATCTTTCCTTGGATGAGTGAGTTCAAAGTGCCAGCCTTTTGGTTAGTAGCCAGGTGCTTAAAACATCTCAGTACCTGCTCCCTGATCCTGTTGTTGTATGCAGGTTTTCAGAGACAATAAAATCTCACAGGAGGAGATTGCAGCTCTTTCTTCTACACAACAGCTGGTGGATTTGAACCGTATGCCTATGGGTTGGCAGCACAGCTCCTTACCCATAGGCCAGTCAGGGCTCCCTGTCAAGAGATGGTGTCAAGTTGACTTTAACTCCGAGCAACTCCATGTGACACAGTAGATCTGTGCTCTTTAGATTCTTCAATGACAGATATTTTTTCAGAATTACATTACAGACCTTTCGTCCAACCTTTTGGTTTTTAATTGAACATCCATGGACTTCAGATGAGATAAAGAAAGGAAGAGGATGAGGGAGCTTCTTAAAGAGGCAACAGCCTCTGCAGAAGGACCAGGGTCAGGCAAGTCTGGCCCTGCAAACTTTTCAGATTCAAACTCATTGTTGTCAAAGTTAGAACTAACTCACACATAGCCAACCTCCCAGAAGGTTATTCTAGGCTATAAATCACACAAGAAGAAGTTACCTATCTTTCTCCTTCAGACCTGCTGGTGGATTTGAACCACCAGAGAGGTGCCGCCTTTGTGTTGCTAGCACAACTCTCTAAGGATTACGCCACTCAGACTCCCTTGTAAGTCTACCGGGGAGCTTTGATGGCCTAGTTCATAGTTGTGCTTCTCAACCAAAGTCAGGACTGCTATGGAGATTCGAAAGACAGGCTTCGGTTTCTCCTGTGATTTGCAGTCTCTGAAAACCTGCTGGATGGAGGGTCAGCTATGGGTCTGTTCTGACTTGATGGCAAGGAGTTTTGTAGACCAGGAGAGCTTCCCGAGAAGGTAGGTGGAGTATTCTAGCACCAAATAATTGTTCAGATGCTCCGAATTTGAAAATGCATTTCGTAATGGAGAGACTGGGACTGATCAGAATTTCAAGAAGAGCAGCGAAACAAGGTGTGCCCACAGCGGGCAGCTCTCTTACTGCTCTATCCAGGTAAACTTTGGAACTTGTGTTCAGTAAATTCTAAAACCCAGCCTTCTTTTTGAAGAGAGCACAATAATTGTAAGTCATAAATTTGGGCCTGGTTTTTCTGTATCAGGAAACAGAAGAGTTCTTTACACTTGCTGAGCAGTTCACAGATAAGCAGCTGAGAGCATTATCAATTCAAAGTGCATTATTTTATCACATACTTTATTCCCTCCCAAGCCTCTTTCCCTCCATTGTCAGTTCTTTGAAAGTAGGTTCCAGATTTTACTAACCATTGAATGCTTGGAAATGGATTCCTGGTAGCTGGTCAGTGCTGAGTTAATACAGAAGTTCAGGTTCCCTGGTCTGTGGCTGTTTATGTGCTCCAAACAAGGAAGACCTGAGATATTGGTAGGATTTAGTGCACGAAATAGGGAAGAATGCAGTGTTGGTTGAAGAAGTTTGAGAAAGCACTCAACTTTTAAAAAGTATCTGGAGTTAAAGACATGAGAAAGTTAATCTGGTA